CGAGCGGGGGTGGGAGACCCGCTGAAGGCGCAGGAAGAGCCCCCGGAGGGGTGCGAGGTGCGTCTGGGTTTCCCTGAGAAGTTCCGTTTCACGGGCAGAGCGTAGGTGGAAGCGGGCGGGAGGGCAGAGCTCCCGGACACGCCGGTCCGTGACTTTCCTTGGCCCCTACAGAACAGCGCTCACTGATTTATCGGCTGGGGCTTGCAGCTAGAAATTGGTCTCTGTGTCAAGTTATAAGCAAAATAGGAAATCAGTTCAGGCAGGCTTTTAGCAACATTGATAGCCTCCAGAAAACCAGCTTGTAACTACCCAGTCGTTGCTGTATATTCCTTTTTTTTTTCCTTTTTTTCCCCTCCCACGTTGTTGACCTTATCCTGGCACAGTCACCTTAACAGTACAGTTCAATTTTCAGCTCCTGTACGATATAGCAGCGGCCATGGGAAGCGAATGTTTATTATCAAGGCAACGAGTTTTTATGATACTCGATTTCTGAACTTGTTGGTGAGTTAAAACCAAAATTATTGCATTCGGTATAACGCATCCTTTGCAAACAGTGTGAAAAGGTCTATGATACAATTTTCTGTATTGTTTATGTGACAGCATCTAAAATGTGGTTGGCAGTATACACATAAACAGGAATTTCCATTCCTCCTCCTAAAGAGTTTTCTGCAGTGTGTTATAAAATCAGGGCCAGATGAAGTAAAAAGACTGACTAAATGGCAAAGATTGTGATAGGTACTTAAAAGTTAAGAATGCTGCTTCAGTATCAATTTGTGTCTGTGTATGCAACTTAGGCTGTTCTTCTGCAGGGTCTGCTTTCAGTTACCTAAACCATTAATGCTAGAGATTAGATTTAGGAAGACTGACCCGAGTTCAAGCCCTAAAAAGCTGGTTTTGAGATAAAGCCTATTATGATGGGCAACAGCTTCATGTGAACTCCTTTCACGTGATCAGGCTTCTTTTATCTGCCTTCCCCAGTTACCAAGGCTGTATTCACGTTGGATTATATTGCACTGGTGTTAGTGCCTCATCTCCATTAAATGCTGAAGCTGGTCATCACAAGATGCTGAGGCAGCGCTCAGGGAAAGCATCCCTGTCTCCTTCTGCCAAGACTGACCTCTGCGGGAGATCAAAACCTGAACTTAAGAGGCTCAGGGACTGACACAGCATCGCTCTTTCTATGTTCTAGTTTGCTAATGAACACATTTTAAGCAGCCATTGCAACATCTCTATCTGATCTATGAATGCAACTCTGAGAATTGTTATTGGCTGTTACATCCTTTTCAGACAAACCTCATGTAAATTTTGTCACACTCTTGTGTTTCCCATACCGTTTCTTTTTGTCCCCTACACAGAGATTCTATGTATTTCTGACGGGCATACCAGTGGCACTGTTCATAACATATGTCAACATCTTCATTGGTAAGTGATCTGTCATGACTAACCTCCGTACACAGCTGCAATTCTTAAATGGAAACTAAGTGTACTGGATAGAAAAACAGATGTCTTTTAAGGCTTGCTTTGTGGAAGCTTTAAAAAACAGCCCTACCAGTTATGGCAATATTGTATAAGCACATAGATGATGTTCCCGGTATTTTTATTGTTCTGTAGTTGCTGCTTTTTTTAAAAAAGCTTTACTCCATTTTAAAAATGGAAGAAAATCCATCTTTTGACAGTCTTTCAAACATCATTGAGGTTTAGAGAACAGTTCTTTTGTTTTCAAATGAGGAGTCTATATTACCTTATTTTACGTACTACTTTATGAAGTCTGCATACACTGCAGCTGTCGCATTTTATCTAACGAACCCCCCAACATTTCGCTTGACAATATGTGTTTTAAATCTGCTACTGTAATAATATGGAATTAATTTAATTAAGAAATTAGAAAAAAAATCCATGCTTTCAGCTCCTATGCTCTAAAGGGCATTTCTGTGGATTTTATCTTAGTTATTTCATCTGTATTGCTCATTTCCCCCCTTTGTTGTATGGCTTAAAGTCTGTGAGCTATGTTCATGCGGTGTGAAGTGTCTGGAAAAATTACAAAATCCCATTTTTCTGAACAGGGCTTAGATTGAGGTATTAAGTACTCTCCACATCAAATAATGATCTTTTCCTAATGTGAAAGGCAAGAATATAAGGTAGCTAAAAAATTAAATAACTTGAATCATATGTTCCTCCTCTCCTTTCCTTGTCAGGTGAAGCTGAACTTGCAGAGATTCCTGAAGGTTATGTTCCAGAGCACTGGGAATACTACAAAGTGAGTGTAATGTTTAAAAGCGTGGCATGTTACGGACAGCATTCCACCTGGTGATACCTCTGGGAGTAAAATGTGGGCAGTTTGTTAATGAGGATGGCCATATCTCCACCTTTGGATATCAGTGTAATAGAACTGAAATCACACAATTGTGCTTTTGGTGAACTTGCTTTTTTTTAAGCTTTATGGAACATGCGTGTTGCTGTAGGAAATGTTTATTGACAAAAGTAGATGCAAATGATCTGTAACTCCATGCAAACAATCTGCTGAAGCTACATTCCAAGAATTCTTTTATAATATTCCTAAACAGTAAAAACAATTTTTTGTTCTCTTTATTCTTAGCTTGCAGGCTTTGTCTTTGTCTCTTGCTCTGGAACTACAACATTTTAAGATACTGAAGTTTAAAATGACATTACTTGCTTTTGTATTGTTTATTAGCATTGTTTCAAAGTCCAACATCACACATGCTTTTACGTCTACAGTAGAAGATTTTTACAATCAGAAACTCAAGGTTATTCTTATTTCATTGTATTTTCTTAAAATTAGTCCCTGGCTTCTTGCTGTAAGCACTTTCTGAGTTTTGACAGGAAGTAACTGAATTCAGCAGTACTATTATAACTGTTAGAACTCCTTTAAACTTTTGTCCCTAGTGAAATGGCCTCTGTGTGGAAGCAAAACTTTAAAATGTTACTGATTACAATTAGAGGTTTAGAGTACATTTCTATGATTACAGTGGCAATTTAAGGAGCTTTATTTCAACAGAAAGAAAATAAATCGCATGTCTTCCATTAACTTTTAATTTTGCTACAGAATAGTTGCCTACAGGTTATCTTGGCATTAAAAATGGCAAAAGAAATACAGGTTTTTAGGATTCTGATCTTACAAGTAGTTGAGTAGAACAGCTTTACTGTTACAATTTGAATGGCAGCACCCATAGTGTTGATGACCTGTTTACTGGCAACATGCAGAAGGGTTTAATTATGATGACATTTCTACTTGGAAATTGCATGAATAATCTCTGCTTTTATATTTTCCAGCACCCTATAACTCGCTGGATTGCTCGTTATGTCTTTGACCCCCCTGAAAAGAACTATGAGAAACAGATGGCTGTGCTTGATATTGAAGCAAAGAAAGCTGAACTGAGGTATGTTGTGTAATTGAGGGGTTTAGAATATTAAAATATACTGTTGTTGACTCTTCTGTGTTGCTTAACATACCGAGTTGGATGTCAGGATAATGTGCTTATTCATATATCGCTTGACCCTGTGTGCTTGCTGCACTGGCTGCTGCAAAGTGGAAGTTAAGGTGTCTGTAGTCCCTGGAGATTGCCCAAACTGGAATGATCCAAGGGCAGTCTCGTAAATCAACAGTGTCTCTTCAAAAGTGTTCATATTTATAAAGGTATAGTTCTGTCTTCCCAAGTCAGAAAAGAGGCAGCTCTTTCTTGCCTCTGCTAATGCTCATAGCTTAATATCAAAGTTTATTGAGTTTACTGAGTTTATCCTGTAGTTACTCAGAATAAATTGTGCTGGTAGAAGAAAGTCTGAGTTTTGTCAACTGTTGCTACTGGGATCAAGACAGTGTATCTTCTTCTACCATCACATTTATTTCTATTTTTCTTGCTCCTATTTATTTTTAGTTGAAAGCTGCATCAAAACTGTCTAACCCCTTACTAACCAAGAACCTGTGACAGAACTCCTGCAAGTATTTTTGTGAGATGACTTGCTGAAAAAAAAAATTGAAACAGAAGAATGTAATAGCTCATGTTTTAGTTGAACCCTTCATATTTTCCTACAGTACCAGGTTGGAAGAGACCTCGAGGATTATCTGGTTGAACCTTTCTTTGCAAAAGATATATTTTGGTTTTGCCTATGTTTTGGTGGTATTTGTCAACCATAGATGCTAAACTTATTGCTGTTGTCAGTAATGCCCTGAGGTTGAACATCACTGAGCTTCATGTTGAGTGTGTGTGTTGCTCTTGGTTTTTTAGGCTGATGGAGTTGGAGGCACGCAGACTGATGAGACACAGGGGAGACGGACCTTGGTATCATTATCCATCACCTGATAAAAATCTTGTGGACAATTCTATGAAATCCACGCCGGACAATTAAACAGTTTTAAGACAGTATGCATGGTCTTAAACGCATACTGACAAATTGTGACTGAGCTATGTAATATATATCCCGCTGTTTACTGATGGAAATTAATAAAAATAAACAATGGTTGTGTTGATTCTGATAACTTGAAAGAAACTGTGTGGCAGTTAAGCTTTATATAGCTGTTAAAATTTGTTAATCAAGAGAAAATGCCTTATGTCAGTTGCCGAGTTACTCCTTTTCTCCAGAACATCAGTGCAGAATGGGCTTTGTGAAACAAGTTGGTCATATTGGTCTTTATCATGTGATTTCTACTATTTAAAGATTTAAATGAAAGGTACAGGAAACTATAAGATCTTTTTGTTTTACAATGCCTTGTGTCAGATAATTTGTGAAAGATAAACTAAGAAAAATACCTTCGGATCTTTGGAATGTTAGGATTAAATCTACCACTTAAGACAAGCTCTTTCTCCTTACTTGTAGTTGAGCTCATCTTCCACTATCTTTTCAACTTGCATGTTGTTTGACATCTGCTGTCATTTTCTCTCCATTATCTCAAAAGTCTCTCTCTTTAGATAGCTCTTAATACCCTTTCTCCCTCATAGTGTCAGCCATGCTGCTCTTCCTTTATTAGTTTTGTCACCAGAGTAAACAATGTCACCAGTTTAAACAATGTTTAAAAGGTACTTCTGCTATGGTATATGCTTCCAGTTCGAAATGGTAATAGATCTAAAATGGAGCCATATACTTCTTTTGTGGCAGAAAGGATCTTCATTGATGGGAAACACAGTCAGTGCTCAGTAATATGTTAGTATCTTAGAAAACTCTTAGGGGGGCGGATCTACCATTGTCACGTAATGTTGATGTTTTAAATATGCATCTAGTGACATGGAGAATTGCATGCCCAGTAGCTGTGGGAAGGATAGTCTCAAAATTTATTATGTGGGGTATCTTCTGTATTTTCAGAAGACAGAATTAAGACAGAACTGCTTGCCCGGACCTGTGACGATCTACACTGTCAGATGTAGGAGTAGAAAGCAAAGCAAAGGTTCTTAAACATTAAAAAGTGTGTGGTGCATATAAATTCATGATTTATGATTTTTAGGGGATTTTAAAAGCCTAAATCTTTCATGTAGTCCTGGAAATAACCCCGCAGTTTCTAGGCTAAAATTTATGCACCCTCACATAAAACTCAAGATGAATCTCAGTAGACTTTTCTAGTAACTGCTGTACATCTAGCATTTTTAGCAATATTAAAGTTATTGACACTATTGTTAGAAAGCTTTCTATTTCCTCTAACGGGCTTAGTAAGATGAGAAAGGGAAAAAGAGGAATCTTCTTATTGAAAGTTGTTACGAAAAGATTTCTAGCTGGCTGAAGAGCAAGGATCAAGCCAGGGGGAATGGTAGAGATTGACCTTAGTTAATGGGGTTTATGGATCATCTTATTACTGCTGGGTGGAGAGGGATGCCATCTTCTGCTGGGTGGATAGGGATGCCATCTTCTGCTGTGTGATTACACAACTTTAAATAAAAAAAAAATTAAGTCTTTACAGCAACATCTCGAGATGAAAACGTAAAACTTTATACTCCCAATGCATTTAGCTTAGAGAGGCCACGTAAGTGATTTTGGAAATGAAAAGGGTAAACCTTTCCGGTAACATTTAGGATAAGCCTTTCCCAGGGCGAGGTGGAATTAAGAAAGCAAACCGAGAGAGTTTATATGAAAATTCAAGTGGAAAGGTGCTGTGCAACCATTATTAACCAAGATCAAATTAAGAACTACATGAGGCAAATTGCACCTGGGGGCACACCTGCCATGCACTTGCAGAACTGTACAGTTAATTTTTCTACACCACTTTTTGACAGTTACTATGTAGGGATATTGGTGATACTTTGTGTGTCTGGCAGCGTTTTGCCACCAGAGGGATGCGTTTCCTCAGGTTCGAATGGCCGTGGTGGTTCTCCTCTGGTTTTAAATGCCTCACAAAAGTGATGGAAGGTGCCTCTTGCAGTTCGTGCCCCTAAACTATCTGTCCGTATCCAAGACAGTAAGCCCAAGTCCTTTAATAACCCCTCATCATCTTGTCTTTCAAACTATTAGACACATATCTTTTTTTCTTTAAGCAACATTGCACAGACTATTTTAAGCAAAGACAGCCTCATTTGCTGTTTCCTAGCACTGCCAAATGTTAGAAAGACTCTGATCGATTTTCTATTGGTGCTTTGACCTGTCCTTTTCGTCTGAATCAATCTTCCGGGTTAGATGGCTTGCATGTCTTATTATGGCTCTGACTGTTTATAAATGCTGAGTTAATCATAAGAGAAGCCATTAAGTAAAGCCCCTTCTCAGGTAAAATAAATCTGTCCATTGACCCTGAATTAATTTCTGGGTTTTATCCAGCATCCAACAACGCTTACAAGTCTTTGATGTAAAGACTGGTCTTGAGTAAGTCTAAGGCCGTTCCACTGACATCTTATTCTGCCCTTGGTATTTCACATTGTTCCCAAAGCTTGGGGGTTTTTTGCTAGAAAAAATGCTGAGAACAGTGTGCAGGTCTTCTCACTCTCACAGCCTGGTCCTTCACAGCTGGATACACATAATTTTTCAGTTCTGTTGTTAATAGATTTTACTAGAGCCACCTTTTAAAACTTCAGGTCTTGAGATAGAAGGTGGTTCTAGCAAAAGTCCCATCACCAGCTTGGAAGGGATCAATGAATCCTTGGATGTATCGTGGACTAAAGGTGGAAAGCTGTTCATCTGCCTTGTACAGCTTCATTTTAAACGGATCAGGCATTTCTTTAGTCTTGCTGTGTCAGGCATATGCAACAGTTACTAGATATTGCTTGAAAAAAACCATGATTTCAATATCTTCGTTACTTTGCTCTATTCCTCCTCCCCTTGGCAGCTTTCTTTCCAAGTGAAAAGCAAAGAAAAACGCAGCCAACGCCATAAAAATGTTCTCATTGTAAGGTGAAGGTGCAGTCCCTCAGGCCATGACATGCGGCTCCCGGGGGCTGGC